AATGTTCAAAACTAATCTCAATCGATTGCATCAAACCAAGCTGACATAACCAATCAAAAAGCAATTATAAATAATGTTTGGTTTATTTTTTTTTTGTCAACATTAATTGGCTTGATTCGGCAAGGTTTTTATTTTTAAAAACTTAAACCAAACTAACCTAAATTTTGTTATATTTATATATATATATATATATATATTAATAAATTTGCCTAAGTTTTTTTTTCTTTTCCAAGTTTAATTATTTGTGAATCATTAATAAAAATATGTTACAATTAGGTAAATGTTATTTACAATTTTTTATTATATTTTTTGTTTTATAAGCAAATATTTTAAAGATAATATATTAATCTTTAGTAGTTAAATATGTTAATTAATTTTTTAAAAAATATTCTTTTGTGCTCAAGAGATTTTTTCGTTGTAAATAGTAATTATAATTAAAAATTATCAGTGAACATGAATATATATTGATGATTGTAAAACATATCTTATAAAAAAAGTTTAAACTTGATCTAAATCCAAACCAAACCACTTAAAACTCAAATCAAATTGATTGGATGAAAAAACCAAATAGGTCTAAAGCTATAGTGAACTAGTGGGTTTGGTTTGATTTGATTTTTTCTCAAAACCAAACTAAACCAAACTTGTGAACACCTTTAATTCAAAACACTAAATATTCTCATTAATTACTTGAGTGAAATATAATAGAGCAAGGGTATTATTGAAAAATATATATGACCTATTTAATGCTCTGCATTTAGATCAAGTAGGGCTTCTAAAAATATCATATATTATGGTTCGGATGAACTATATTTTTAAGGTAAATGCTTTCAATAATTTCTTCTCTTCTCCGAAATTTTATCTCCTTTTTATTTATCAATACTCTGTGCAAATTATATACCAAAATAGCTAACTTTATTATTCTTAAAAAATATACTCTCTCCTTTCAAAAATAAAAGGCATTTTTTATTGAATTGTACTCTTAATAAAAAAAATTACAAATTATAAATTCCCTCTATTTTTTATATTCATATTCCCCCTGTTTTTTATTATAAGAGAAACAGTTATATTCTTCATTTTTTTATAAGAAAAATTATAAATTTTAAGGAATATTTATCATTTTTCCCAACTGCCCATTATAAAGTTAATATTTATTTTCACAAGATAATTTTATTTCATTAATTACAGAGATAATTTAAGTCAATTTTTTAATTTTAGATATAATCATTATACTTAATTAACTTATTTTTTAAACTGTTAGTTGATTATTTCTCTCTTATGTTTAAAAACTAAATAGTATCTACGATTAAATATGATTTTAAAAATTTGTCACATAATTAGGAAAGGTAAAAATACGACTATTAAATTAGCGTTATTTTCAATATAATCCTTATGTGGTGCTTTTGCCCTTTTTTTTTCCGTCCAAATTAAAAGTGGTACTTTTACTTTTGTTTTTGTCAGACTTGATTGTACACATCTCTCTTAAATTATTATTCATGAACATGATCTGTTAATAAAATCGACTGCATGCACTGAAATTTTGTTTGCGTTGCGTGAATTATTGTTTTTTTTAGTGAGATATATTTAGTGAAAAGAATAATGTATATTTTGATATGGATTATTTACTTGCAATTTCTTTACGTGGAAACCGCTGATTCATTATGATGAGGATGATTCATAATCTCAATTCCTTTTTTTTTTCTGGCAAAAAATCTCAATTTCTTAATAACAATCCCGATTATTCTAGAATACATTTTTGGCTCTCAAGTCTAATCAGCTCATTCACAAAAAATCTGTTTTTGAAAAAAAAAAAAATCCTGGTGCTTTGTTTATTATTCAATTATAGTCGCCGAGATCGTGGACCGATGATGCCCCCATCTACAAGTTCGCCACGAGTATATTACGGAACATGTTTTATTTATTAAAATTTCCCTTACTTACATCAAATAAATTCCATCATTTCTGATTATTCATTTATCAAGTCGCCCTTTAAATAACTTATATTTCACGCATAATAAAAAATGTTTAATACACCACACTCATCAGGAATTATAAACAATATGAATGCAAATCATTTGCCAACTTTTATACTCTCCCATTTTAAATTATAAAATATTTTTTAAGAAATTTTTTATCCCAAAATATCTTATATTTTGAATAGATTAAAGATTCATTAAATGCATCAATTTTAATATTATTTTTTCTCTTTTTATAATTAATTTTCATCCATTCTCTTTTTAATATATTAAATAATATGTAAAATTATTAAGTATCTTTAATAAAATGTATTGATTTTAAAATTTTATTTAAAAATATTTTATAATTTGAGATAGAGAAAAAATATACAAGACTCACACCAATAATTAGTTACGCTTCAAAAATACATTATTTTATAAGATAACTGTCATATGACGTACAAATTTGAATAATTTTTCAACTTCACAACACTAACTGCATATGATGCATTTAAAAGGAGAAAGAGAAAAAAGATAAAAATAGTGTATTATAAGATTTAAACTCTCTCTCTCTCTCTCTACTTCTTTTATCTCACCCTAATTCTAAAGTGATAATTATATGATTGTAGAAGATTCATTAATCCTGCCCCACCCACACGTTTTAATCACTTTTATTGTCTGGTTTAAAAAATGTGTAGACTAATCTATTTCTCTTTGGTTTTATTTATGGTAAAAACTGAGTATTCTATCATTATTTATCAATATCAATCATCTTTTCTTATCTATTCATACATACGATGACTTCATCATAACTATAATAATCATTTCTTTACATATAATCTCTCATGTCTCCAACTACTTAACAAAAAAATTTTCTTTGAAATCCTTAGGTCAGCACCACAATAGGTTGAACTCAAAATTAACTAATTATTTCTGTACCATATTGTTAGAAAAAACTCAATATTGAATATTTAATAACATGATTTAATATTATTTTATAATTAAATAGTTGATATAAGATATTTATCACATCTTTTTTATATTATTTTGTCAATGTTAATTCATTTTTAAAAAGTGTCACCGTGTGAAATCAAACAGAGGCATGATTAGAAAGTCTTTTATTTTTAAACAAGGTTAATAAACTTTAAACCTCTTCTCAATTTTAATGATAATGTTAAAAATGTACAATGAAAAGAAATGGGAATACTCCCTTTATTTTTCGTTGGGAGCTGAGGCGGATTAAAAGATTTTAAAATATCATTATAGGATTTGATAGTTAATTTAAAAATAATTTTAGATAAAAAAGATTGTAATATTCCTACTTTTCTTTTTCTTTTTTTAAAATTGTGAATTAGTGAATTATTTTTTATTAAATATAAATCAGTGTCTATTAATTATCGAATGACTACTTATCAATTAAAAGGGGTGTTATAGTATTTTCTCATATAAATTTTTTTACAAATCAATCCTCTAATTTTACAATGATATTTTTTAAATCTTTTGATCTTTGTTTGATATTAAATTATCTTAATGATTTTTGAATGATATTTTTCCTTTTTTTCATTGTAGTAACTAATAAGAACTAGCATATGTTTCATTGTTTTTATAAATGAAACTATAATAAACTCAAGAAGTATTTGTCACATTTTTTAAATTGTCTCTTATAAAATTAAAATTTATTTTTACAAGACAAACTTAATTTCTTCTTATGTTAAAAATTAATTACAAGAATATTTTAATTAAATTTTTTTAATTTTAGACCTACTGTAATTATTATGTTTAATTAACTTTATTACATTTACATATGGATGGAGCATTCCTTGATTGAGATTGATTGTGTCTTGAATAATAGTTAGCTGATCTCTAATAATCATCTTCTACTTTACACATTCAAATTAGAAAGATTATATCCATTACGAACCCGCATCAAAGAATCGTGTTTGAGAATTAAGAGGACCATATTAATTCCTTGCTCTCTCTCTGTTTTTTTTTCTATCCTGGCTAGAAGCACCACTTAAAAAACATCAAATTCTTTTTTTAATACTTAATTCAATTCATTTGCTAGTCGCTCTTTGGTTTTTGTCTTTTTGATGTTTCCAATAGGGGTGCTAATGGTTAGGAAAAAAAATCTATACTGACAAGGCCCCAAAAAAGGTGAGGGAAAAACAGAGACTGGTATTACTGAAAAGTGCCTAATACCATTCAGTTGTTGAAGGGTGCATTGAATGGCATTGAATTTTTACAACCTACGAATTAAATTCACCCCACAAACATGAAACAACCCACCAAATCCCATTTTGAATGTACCAAACCAGTCAAGGTATTAATACTGATTTAAGAATTAATTATAAAAAACATAAATTGAACCGTAATAGATGTGTTGCAAACAAAAACATTTTATTAAAACAATCAAAACAATAATTTAATGATTTATCAATTTAATCAGACAAGTTAACCTAAATTTTCAAACTACTCCTTCAGCTTCTAAATATAGAAAAAATAAATATATCACGTTATTTAATAAAATCAATTATTTATAATAATTGTGTTTAGAAATTAAAAATGAATCAAAATATCTTAGTCAACATAATATTACAATAAATATTTATAAGGTTATGAAAAAGTAAATTAAAAAAATTCATAATGAATGTTTGTTGACAAATACTCTCTCTAGTTCTATTTATAAGATAGAGAGAGAAATTTTTTTATCCTATTTATAAGTTATACAATTAAATTTTCATCATAAATTTTTTATTTTACTTTTTATTTAATGTTAGAGAGAGAAAATATATTATTAAAATTTATATATTTAAGAAGAGTAAAGTTAAAAATTTATTAGATTTTAAGACAGAGTTAATAAATTTTAATTTTTTTAAATATTAATAAAATATGTTAAAAATAATTTATAAATAAAATTAAAAAAAATATATTTTGTTTATTAAAAAAAAGCAACAACAACCCCTTATGGCAATTTCTCCCGCATTTAGAAAGCTGGGGCAGTATATTATCTAAGATAGAAAGAAAGAAAGCAAGCAAGCAGAGGGAGTATGGATTTTCTCTCTCCTCTCTCTCCCGGCCCACACTCTCTTCCCTCCACAACCAGTCATCCACTTCCCTCCTTTAAGTGGCGCTCCTCTCGTCCCTCCTGCTTCTGGTCACAATCATTATTGCTCACACCCACCTTCACCATCACAACACACAACAACGTTCTCAATCATCCTCCATCTTCCATGGCCAAGAAATCGCATATCCTCCCTCCTCTCCTCAAGCCTCCTCCCAGAAAGCATCCATGGCACTTCTTTCCTCCTTGTGCTTTCTCCACTAAGACCCTCTCCTTCCGCGCTAGCGACGACATCTTTAGAACCGTCAACTCCGTCTTCTTCGACCCCGTGGAGACGCCCGACCCTTGGTTCACGACCTCGTCCGAATCTGCGGTCAGCTTCACGACGGAGGATGATGAGGATAGAGACGCGTGCACGGAGGAGTCCCTGGAGATGGTGGTTCGAGGCGTGAGGTCGTCTTCGAGGGAGTCGGAGAGGCTGTTCTTCGACCCGGACGACACGAGGTCGATCCTGGAGCAGGCGAAGGCGGGAATGGGGTTTCCGTTCAAGGAGAGCGAGGTTCTAGCGATGGAATCGGAGGATCCGTACGGCGATTTCAGGAGATCGATGGAGGAGGTGGTGGAATCGCACGGCGTTAGGGATTGGGAGGGATTGGAGGAACTATTGGGATGGTACCTGAAGGTGAACGGGAAGAACAATCACGGCTTCATCGTGGAGGCTTTTGTGGATTTACTTGTGAGTTTACGGAAGAAGAATTATCCTGTTTCTGATCCTAATTCAGATTCTCCTTCTTCTACCTCTAATTACTCTTCTGCTATCTCTTCCTTCTCGTCGTCTTCTTCATTGCGCGTATCTCATTCTCAGGAGGCTCTAAATGAGATTGCTGACGAGGATGATTGTTAGCGTTGGTGTCTAGGCAGCGATTAATGCATTGTGATTGTATATTTTGTAGACTATTATAAGATAAAATTACTATATTAGTCACAACCTCATGCACCCCCTCATAGTATCTTCGGCATTTTTGAGGTAGACCAATGTATATTATGTAGTTTGCATTATTAAGTCGTGAGGGTGAGGGTCTGAGGAGTGAGAGAAAAAAATGAGGATCGCGACGGTGATATGGTAAGAGAGAGTGGGGAGGGGTCCGTCTTCAATGCTCATCAGGGGGCAGAAAATCTGGGGCATTCAGATTTTTTAATTTTAATTTTAATTTTAACTTTAATTTTATTAAAATAAAAATTTATAAATTTTTTAAATAAATATATTCATCATTAATTTAAATAGTTCTTATTTAATTTAAATAATTTAATTTAATATTATAATTTTTATAAATTAACTATTTATATATGTTCTGAAAATTTTAAATTTAATATTAAATATTTATTTGCAAGGTGCATGTTTAAAATTTTAATTTTTTATTTTAATAAATATAATATTAAAAAATAAAATATATAATATTTTAAATAGAAATTTTTTAAAAACATTCTTTTAAAAAATACAAGTTAAAAATTTTAAATTTAATTTATACAAAATATATCTTGATAATTAATATATAAAAAATATAAAAATTTTAATATTAAAAATGGCACTCATCAAGGTGATGAGCACCGAAGATAGATCTAAATAGGGAGGGACAGTGGATGCGAAGGGAAAATTGAAATTTAGAAACAATTATTTTATTATTTTATCTGTTATATATTATAACATTTTAATTTATAAGATATTTTTTAAAAATATTTAGTATCTCAAAATATGAGGTACATAATGAAAAATAATGTTTTATTAATGACATGTTTCTCAGTATTACCCTTCATGCTATATTCTCCTTAATATTTTTTTATAGATAGATTATTAAATGAATGATATTTTTAAAAAAATTTATATTTATATTTTCAAAAAAATATTGTAAAGTAAATTTAATAAATTTTATTAATACATGTAATTTATACTAAAATTTTCTTATAAGTTGGGATGTAAGTATTATAATACTTCCTCTCGTCTTTCTTATAGAGTGCCATTTAGAAAAAGTACTTGATTTATAATATAAGACACTTTATGATATATTAATTATTTTTTAAATATTACTCATATTTAAACTTATTAATCGTGAGAAAGAATATAATATATATTTAATTTTTTTAAATAGGAATAGCATTGAAAGTTTATTATATCTTTATATAAAGTTAATAATTTAATTATATTTTCTTGATTTTGATGAGATAGATATGCATTATAATAAGAACAGGAGAGATTAATTAAGTTTTAGAAAACTGGCCCCCTAACTTTTGAGGCTGGTTCTGCCACTGGTCGCAGGTTTTGTAAGTTTAATTTCTCTTCATCTTCAGCAATGGCTTTTTCAAATTGAATGGGCAAGTCGTTAACATTCTTATAGTGAGATACCAAAAGTGGTGATAAAAACTGAACATATGCCCTTCATTTGAAAATATAAAATATTTTTAATAAAATTTTATCTTTTAATAAAATAATTTTATACTTTTAAACTTACTCTATTTTTTATATTTATTCTTATTAAATATAAGGTATTTTTAATCTTTCGATGTGTAATCACTGTCTTTTTTTCAAAAGTGTCTCTATTAATAATGACTTTTTATTTATTGTAGGGTGTTTAATAGGAGTAAATATAAAATGATAGGATTAGTTTGAAAATAAATAACTACTTTGTTGAGAGATGAGATTCGATTAAAAATGCTTTATATTTTTGAATGGAGTAAATAATTATTTTTCTAACCATACTCTTACTTCATTTATTATTCTTTAAAAAATGGTGCATTAAACTTTCAGTTATCATTGTTAAAATATTTATATAAGATATTTAATGATGGTGTAATTAAAAAGATTTACAATTTTTTAAAGAGATTAAAGTTTCATTTAACATAACTTTTTTTGAAAATTGTGAAGTGGCTATTGATATCTTATTTCTTTGGTTCTATGTATGAGGCAGGAGAAGGCTTTTTTTTTCATTTCATTTACAAGTTACTTCATTAAATTTTTATTATAATTTTTTTTATCTTTCATTAAATGTTGGAGAGAAAAAATATGTTATTAAATTACATACATTCAATAGGGATAAAGTTGAGAACATACTAAAATTTGAGACAAAATTAATAAGGTTTAAAATTTTTTATGATAATAATGAAATATATTAAAATGATTTATAAATAAAATTAAATGTGTATACTATGACCCATATGGAGTAAAAATTTTGATGGCTTACGGGATGAAATTAAAAACACAATGAATTTTTTTTTAATAGCATAATTGAGGATGGAGATAATACGTTGTGATAGATGGTAATGGGAGAGATACCATTAATTGTGGAGTCAACCTAAGCTTGGTTGAGAGAGTTGAGGAATGCCTTAGATACCAAGTGGTTTGGTGATATTGGTCGGGTGAACATTCAGTTAGTTCAGTTTTAATTTTGCTAAAATCGATTGATTGAATTATATAAAAAATTTAGAACAAATCAAATCAAAATACATGATCAAACTGAATTAAAACCTTTGACAAAAAATGAATTAAAACTGAGCTGAATTATAATAGTTTGATTCGATTGGTTTATTCAGTTTATGGACTTTAATTTGAGTCTATAAAGTTTAATTATTTATATATTTTTCTATTCAACTTTTTTCCCTTGATATTGAAAGCCCAATAAAAAAATAGTAATTTTATACTAAATTCATGAGAAAATAATAAGAGTAAGTACTATTGCATTAAAAACTAAATTATAGAAATAAAAAATTAAAAAATCACATTAAACAAAAAAATACTACTACTACAAGTGATTGAAAGATGTTTCTTACTCACCTAGATGAAAATTTACTCACATTTTTAAAATAGGTATAATTCATCGGTTTAGTTTATTTAGTTTAAAATTTTTTAAACCGAATTGAATTAAGCAACCAATTTTTTTTAAAAAAATTGAATCAAACCAAAAAAATGAATCAAATAAATTTTTTTATTTAATTTGATTTGATACTTAATTTTGATTTAGTTTTGCTTGTCCTTAAATATTAGTATGCGGTGAGAAGAGGTCAACAAAGAGCCTGAAAAAGAAGATGTTGTGCATGAGGAATTAAATAAGCACCATTCTGCTCTGGGACTCAACTTCTCTCCATTTTTTTCCTCTTCATTTTCTCTCCATTTTCTATATCAGTCATTAGATTTATTTTTAAACAATTGAGATTTAATGTTTCATAAAATTATTATTAAAATGTAAAATTTTATGAAAAATAAATATAATAATAATTTTATGAAACATCAAATATTAATCATTTAAAAATAAATTTAATAATTGAAATAGAAAGTGGAGAAGAATGAAGACGGAAGGAAATAGAGAGCAGCCAAGCCCTCTGCCTGCTCCATTTGGTATGACTGCCTCTTCTTTTCCACCCCTCTCTCTCTCTCTCTCTTATTTCTAACATTTACTCTTTTTACCTCGCAATATCAGCTTATCCATGTTTTTCCAAATCTATATCACTCTTTTTTCATATTTCTCTTAATTATTTCAAAATGTTTTCATCTATTAAACCGGAGGCTAATTTGATAATTTGATCAACACTAATATATATTTTTTAGCATAAGACAATTTAATTATTTATAAGCACTATAAAGTTAAACTCGTACCAATTAAGTAACATATCGACAGATTTTTCGTGGATTAAAACTGGTATAAATTTCAACCAAGGGAAAAACACTGGAATTTGAAGTCGTGGACTAGGTTGAATTTCACGCTGGGCTTTTTTTTGAAGGACACTTTCACTTTGTAGGCTCATGTCTTTGCTTTTGTTGTAAGGACTTGCAGGCTCAAAAATTGTCAGCCCAGACGATACCCATCTCCTCCGTATTCGCTTCACTCATGGAGACGTGTGAAGGCTTTGCGGGGGTCAAAACGCGTGACGGGACACGCACGGCCTGATTGGTTGGTTTATCAATCTTAACTAAATATACCAAATAACTGTGGCATTGATGGTAGCAGTTTGAATTCTTTAAATATCATGTCAAGATTTAATTTTTGGAGATGTGTATGAAAAAATTTTACTTGAAAGAAAACAACCCTTTAACGGCACTCAGATTCTTTAGGAGATTAATTTCATGACTGCCGCTATGGCCTGTGGTGATACCTTGGGTTTAAAATATTCTATATATATATATATATAAATATATATCTATATATATATATCTCAGATTATTATGTGAAATACTCCTTCCAATTCCATTAGAGAATAGTTTTTTTTAATCCTATTTAAAAAGAATATCAATTATTTTTTTCACAAATTTCCCTTTTAGCTATATTAAATTTTGATGAAAGAAAAATATGTTATTAAAGTATTTAAATTTAATATGAGTAAAATTAAAAATTAATAGATTTAAGTTAGAGTTAACAAATTTTAAATTTTTTTTCTTAAGTTTGGTATGTAAATATATTGAACGTAACATATATGTAAATGACCAAGTATTAAATTAGTATGGATCATAAATCTTGTATATACAATACATTTTAAATTTGAATTTAGTGAGTAGTTTAAATACATTCATTTAATGAGTATCTTATGTGGTTTCATAGTAATCGTTCAATCTAATTGAACGATATAATATTAAGAGGTTAAAATGTTTTAAAAGACTTTAAGATGATTGTAGAAAATTCTAGAAGAGTATATGACATTTAAGAAGAATCTAGTATGTTTTTGAATGTTTAAAAAAGTTCTAGAAGCTTATATGGAGGAATGTAATATGTTTAAAATATTTTAAAATATTTTAAAATTTTTAAAGTGTCCTAGACATATCTTGAAGTTAGCCTATAAAAATATTCTTGTAATTATTAAATATTTCTATAACATATTTTAGAAAATAAATATACACTGTAAGACTGAATTCATCTTCATTGTTTTTAAAAAAGTGTGAATATTTTAATAAAAGGGAGGTCCATCAATACCTCTCTACTCTTTTCATTTATAACCATTCTAAATTTCGAAGCAATACAAGTCTCTCATTTTTCAAAAATTTAGCTTTTGTTCTCACGATTTTCATTTTTCTACCTTGCCAAAGCAAATTTTTTCACACACAAATTAAGCTTACTTAACATTTGCCAACCAAAAAAAATTTAAGTTCCACATA